ACTGGAGCGGAAATCAAGGCATCCTTAATTTTAAGAAAAGAAGTCGTGCAAGACTCATCCCAAACAAACTTTTTCCCTTTCCTAAGAAGTCCCGTGAGTGGCGCAAGAATATCCGAAAATCCGTCAACAAAACGTCTGTACCAAGTAATCATACCAATTACCCGTCTGACTTCTTTAACTGTTCGTGGTTCTGGCATATTTACAATAGCCTCCACTTTACCTGGATCTACAGCTATCCCAGATCTGTTTATTACAAAACCCAAAAATTTCAACTCTGGTCTACAGAAATAACATTTCTCTTTGTTCAAGGTTAGGTTAGCGGTTTTTAAACGTTCAAATACTAATTCTACCTCAAAGTGTTTCTCTAAGGTAGGCGTTGCAATGATAATGTCATCAAGGTATTTCAAAATAAACGGTTCTAACTCAGGACCAAATAAATTATCAACTAACCGTTGAAACATTGCGGGCGCATTATGTAACCCAAATGACATTCTTGTAAACTGAAATAAACCCCTTGATGGTACAGTAAATGCAGTATATTTACGCGAATCTGGCTCAACTTCTACCTGCCAGTAAGCACTTTGAATGTCTAAAGAACTTAAATATTTAGCACCACCTAACTTCCTCAAAATATCCGAAATGTACGGTAAAGGATAAGAATCGCGTTCCGTAACTCTATTTAATTTACGATAATCTACACAAAATCTCCAAGTTTTATCTGGTTTAGGGACCAATAACACGGGTGAAGACCAACCACTAGAAGATTTTTCAATAACCCCTAACTTTAACATTTTATCTAATTCGGTATTAATAATATCTTGTTTAAAAGGTGATACTGGATAATAATGTTGTTTAATAGGATCTTCCTGTGTAACACGAATCTTATGTTGAACTGCTGTGGTACAACCCAAAGCATTGCTATCAAAACTTGAAAAATAAGAATTAACAATTTGGTTAAGGTGTTTGTCCCTAAGTCAGTTTGTGACTCGATAGAATTTAAAACTGGTGTATTTAGATCTACATCAGAGAAATACCGTTCTTCTTTCCTAACATCTGGAACTATTCCCATTCTAATCCAAAAATCTATTCCTAAAACTAACTTATGTCTTAATCCCGGAAATATATACACGTCCATAATTTTAACTACATTACGTAACCTAATTGGAATTGTAACTACCCCTAAACATTGACATTGACTATCATCAGCGACACGACAAAGTAAATTTGCAGATTGACTTAATTTAATGCCTAAATTCTTAACCATTTCGTATCCCTCTAAATTCATAATTACTTTATTAGCACCACTGTCTAATAAACCGTAAAAAGATAAACCTAAAATTTCAACTTTAGCATACGGACATTCACCTTCGCCGACTTGAGCTAAAATGTAATCAAGAACAACTTTACCTTTAAAATCTTTGACCGGACTGTCAACAAAAGAGGCGGTGCCGTGGTCCGATCAACTACCGTCTCCGCGTAGCGTTTCCCGAACCAGAAGTTCGTGTTTGGTTGTTTCGAGATGATTCAGATGTACTAGGCTCATTACGACTTCGAGAATTCCTATTTGGATTGCAATTAGGACACGAATTCTTTGTGAAACCCTCTCTACCACATCCAAAACAACGAAAATCGTGTTTCCTTTTCGGACAATCTTTCGCAAAATGCCCCGGAGTTTTATATCTCCAACAAGTTTGTTCTCTAATTTGAATTTCATTGACAGTTGGACGGCTTTGTCTCGGACTACCCTTGTAAGCTAAATCAGGTTCTAAAGAAAGTGACGACAAATTAGGCGGCTTAAAATTATCTACAGATTCACGAATTTCCTCGATTTTACGACATAGTTCAATAAGTTCGAACGGTGATCTAATTTCTGTTACTGCTAATCGTTTCTGGAAGAATGGCAATATATTTCGACGCAAAACTTGCATACGCAAACTATCTGACACATGTGTAGGCATTCTATCAAATAAACTCGTCATAATAGCTACATATAGACCTATCGACTCGGAAGCACCCTGAGTATGCGAAAGAATTTGTTGCCATAGTTTATCTGCGGATGAAACATACTCTTCCTTCATCAACTTAATCAAACTATCCCAATCACTCGCATATCTCTTAAACCAGTTGTACTTTCTCAATGCATCGCCTGCGAAAAGATCTCTAGCTGAGCTAAACAAATTTGCTTTATTAACATTTCTACTAATGCAATGTTCCTCTACCTCTTCTAAAAATGAATTGAAACTTTCAGTAGGTAAACCCGAAAATTTAATATGCCACTTATAAACAGGTACCGTAAAAGAAGAATTAACGTTAAAGTTATTATTTAAATTTAAATCATTATTAGGTATCGGTGGAATACGCGGTGACGACGTAACAGGTGGTGGAGAATGCGTTTCTGTATTTCCAGAAGTACTAGGTGGTATGTCTTGAAGTCGTAAATCTGTAAGTACATTTTGTTGTACAGGTTTTAAGGCTAAGTTTTTACTATTATATACAGAAATCATTTCCATCAAACTCTTACGAAGCACGGCACGCTTGCACATAAGATCTGGATCATCAGAAGTAATTCGTTCTAATCTATTATACGTATGACATATCTTTGTCTCGAGCCGTCTAACCTGACCTACAGAACCAGAGAATGTCGTTAAAAATTCCGTAATATCATTCAGCTTAGTCTGACAAATATTTAACTCCTCAGAAGCATCTCCCTCAAAAGGAATAGGTTGGTTAAAAGAAGCATCTTTTTCAAGACTTAAAGCGCCTCGAAGACTTTTCCTAAGAGCATCAACATTATCAGACTCGCCTATACCTCGAGATCGAAGTTCCCAAATAAGTTCATCTTTATGCAATCTGTCTACGTCTAGTTTGAAAGGCATTTTAATAGTCAATCAGTTTCACACAAAATAATATTAAAGTAGTTACCACCAATTTAAATATTATTAATTATATTATTATTCAAGTTATTCAAGTAAGTTTTAGTTTTATTCCTAAAAATAAGCAAAATAAATAAAATAAGTTACGGTGAAATTTTAAACCGTAACAACAAACAATAATTGTTGTATTAACTAAGTTATTATACTTCCCCAACTTAGCTGATGATAGTGCTAAGTAATGGCAAATTGTGTCAAAAAATATAGTTATTAGTGCTTCAATTTGTAGAAATAGTTTTCATTTAAATTTCAACGAGTACATTCTGAATATTCTCTGACACAAATTGGCAGAATTATAATCACACTTGTTCTCTATTTTCATATAAAATCAAGCATATTTAACTATTTCTATCAATTTGTATTTGCAGATACAGACGCAAAATTCAGCATTAATTTCTACATTTCTGGGGTTTATTACAATTTCTTTTTCCATGTGGGGTGGAAAAAATTGAAGAGTTTTGGAAATGGTCTTAAACTGTTCTTTTACAATTGACTGATATGTGTCATGCGTCGAGAGTCCTCGAGAGTGACGAGTGATCTCTCGAGAAGGAGCTCCCTTCTCGGGTTAAATGTCAATGGACACCCCAGCATCCTTCAGGCAGAAATCTACGCTATCGAAAGACGCGTAAAATTTATCTTAGATAGAAACTATCGTAAACAGGAAATAGCCATTTTGAGAAATATTTAGTTTGTTAATTGGTATATCCGTTTTTTTTTCACTCTTTAAATGACACGATTAATATTTTAATGTATTAACTATATTATTTCTTTTCATTTTTAATTTAATATAATTATTGTTTTACACTTTCAGTTTATAAATGTTTTGCGGTAGTGTAATTTTACTGTATTTTGATTTGAATTATTGCTAGGTGTTCTTCATTAATTTAGATTTTTTATATTTGAGATCTACTAATAAAAAAGATAAATTTCTATGTATAATTTCTATCTTTCTACTCTCATATTTACTTTATCAGTTAATATAAACGATGGCAGGATCTTTAAACGTGCGTCTTGTGACTGTCTCATGTCAACCCAGCATGTCTCATTTTTAGACTGTTTATGGGTTAAATATTAGACACACTTTTCTCCATGCTGACTTTTTTCGGTTTTTTTTTGGTATACTTTTACTTTTGGGTAGGTATACACAGGTGGGTATGTGTAGGTACACAAGGTGGGTATACACATGCAAGCCGAGCGGTTCGCAAACCACTCGTGATCTGCTCGTTAGCAAATTGTGTTTGTACGAACCTTCAACGATCCAAGGGAAAAGCGCGAACGCCGCAAACCAACCGAAAACATGCAGTAATTTTTGCGATGCGACGCGACGACGCGAGTACGCGTTTAATTATGTCTTCGCGAGAAGAGAATTATGTTCTGTTGTTGATGAGTGGTGCATTTTTAATGATGGCTAGTTTAGGCAAGAAAAGGAAGCAGCGACGTTGGTTGTAGGATGCTAATAAAGAAATAATTTGCTTCTTACATTGGTCTACATTTTTTTTCAGTTCGACACCTATTTCCCTCCAAGCGCCTTCCTTTAAATGTGTTTTATAATGTTCTTTATGTTTTGGATCCCATAATAAAGCTTTTTTTCTATAGAGATCAATTAAATCTAAAATGATTTCCTCGGACCAGTCCATATTTAAATAAACCTCTATACCTCTTCCAACCAGTAAACAAAAACTAAAAATTGAAAACAGTGAGTCTGGATTGTCTGGAGGTTCGATACAAACAACGAACAACACACGAGCCTGTCCACCGAGAGCCACGAATCCCTTTGTGTCCGTCAAAAAAACCGACAGGAGGCGGATCGCCGCGAACGGTATGCGAGCCGTTCGTTCGTTGCTCAAAACAACGTACACATTTGCGAATTATAGGTTTACAAGCGGTTCGCGAACCGCTCGGCTCACATGTGTATACCCACCTTTACAGTATCGTTACCACCAAATGCCTTATATTTAAGAAATACTTTTGTATTTAAATGTTTGTAACTAGAAAAAAACTAAAATTTTTGAAAAATGTCTCGTTTTTACACCAATTGACCCTACTAATTTCCTTTCATGTATAACTTACTTGTTTCATGCGTTGAATATTGATTCTACTAACGGATGTATGGTTAACCATTGGTAGAGGATAATCTTTTCCTATTATACATTTAGTACTTCTTTGAACAGATTCTGGAGCCATCCAAGGTTCATGGATGTAGTGTGTCGGGATGTTTTTTAAGACTGGCAAATAGTGTCTGTAAAGTAGAGCTATTATTAGTTATATGTTACAAAGAAACGCGTTGTGATGAAAATTTAAACACTATTACATTTTTTTCTAAAAAAGAAGTCTTAAAGCTTTTTTATACAGGATGAGTCTTAAATACATGCAAATATTTTCAGCTAGTAGATCTCAAGAAAAGAAATATATTTTCTCTTTTTTCAAATGAATCCAAAGTAACCGAGTTATTTTACTTTGAAGGTTTGAAAAAAAAATTTTTTTTTGCTTAAATTTTGAGAACCACTGGATATTTTCTAGGTTTTCTTTTTTGTAAATTTAATCTACTACCTAGGTTGTCATTAAGGTGAGCCAAAAAAAGTCCCCGTTAAGCTCTATACACTTTGTCCAACGATTCTCCAATTTTTCGATGCCCTTCGAATAATACGATTTTTCGAAGTCCTTAAAATAGGCCTCTGTCGCAGCGATACCTCCCCATTCGACTCAAATCTCTTACCACCGAGCCGTTTTTTCAAGTCTGGAAACAGATAATAGTCGCTGGGCGCCAAATCTGGGGAGTATGGCGGATGAGGAACGAATTCGTAATACAATTCATACAGTTTTGCCATTGCGACTGCACATTTATGCGCCGCACAGTGTGAAATTTACGGGGTTTAGCTGGAATAAAATATTTCTGCGACTCTTTTAATGAAATATTAGTCTTTTTCGTTTTTATATAAGAAATTTTATCAAGGCATGGTAGAGCATGCACCCAAATAGTCGTAGTAGGGTATATACAGGGTCTCTCATAATGTTTGGCACATATGGGAAACTTTTTTACTATATTATCAGTGATTCATAAAATGTTATTTTTAATAAAAAAATTTGTTGATTAGATAATAGTTTTGAGGTAACTAACTACGGAGTTTAATATACGGAGTGTCTAAAATTCTACAAAATGTGGCGTTGCCGAACCAAAATACATAACCTATAAGAAAGGCAAATAAGAAAGTACTATTTGTACAAGCAAAATACACTATAAAATTTGTGAAATGGTGCACAGCGCACATAACATACACACAAACACACACCATTTCCTGTACACAAATACCAAAATGAATACAAAAATGGTCAAACTAATCTGAAAATAAATGCTTATTCTATTCCTATTTACAGTTAATAGTGTTCAGAATATTGTTATTCACTATCACTAATGCTACTGGATTCATAGTTCGTTTGCCTAGAAATATCCACCGATTTTAGCATACCTAATACTTCTGGTAAAAGTTGTTGATGGTTGGTTTTTGGAGAAGAACGCAAACTGGCAATGAAAGGATCGGAGGTAATTAAAAGTCTATGCATAAGATCTTCATTTGTAGCTATCCTAGAAGATTTTCTGGTAAACAACTCACGATATTTTCTGTTATCCTTATTCCGCGCCTCCTGAGCTTCTTCTGAAAATTGCCCAATAGGCAACATAAAAGATGAAACAATTTCTGTCCCATGGCACAACAATTTATGGACGCTCACAGGCATGGGATACCAGGAGTTTTAAATATAAATCTCTGGTTTCACTGAGGTATTTCTCAAATTTATTTAAATCTATCTCGTAGCCACAGTTAATAGTTCCCAAAATAACGCGAAACTTAACAATTAATTCCAAATTGATTTGGGTTATTTGTGCCGAAATATCTGCATTTCTGAAAAATTTTCTGGCTGTATTGCCATCATTTGTATTTCCAGCTTGTTGTTTCGGCATATCTATTAGCAGACCTAATTCCATTCTGAACCTTTCTTGTATATGTTTTTTTCTTTCTTGAACTAGTCTTTTGTTTTCTTCGCCTCTAGCCTGCCAGGATTTTATGTCTAGTTTATAACAGATATGAATAAGACACTCAAAACACCTTATCCAGGAATGTAATGGTGATAGGCCAAAAGATAAAAAGTTCTTGTCAACATGTTTTTCTAAAATAATGTTTGGAGAGTTCATATCTCTGGGCTTAGCTTTGCACAAATAACAGGTTGAAGTGGATGTAGTAGATGATAGGGAGTTGCACACTTTACCGTCAATCATACTTAAAACCATTTTTGTTGTTATATTTATGACTAAGTTGTTGACGTTAATTTCTATGGGCAAAAGTTTTTCAATCTGTTCCTCAATTTTTCTAACTTCGCTTCTAGTAACTTCCGGAGTTTCTTTACCAAAAAAAAAATTAATCGGTCGACAATACCTTGTTGAAGATGGGGCGGGGTTTTTCCAAAGGACTGATATTGATGTTCCATTGTCAACATATAACTGAAGAGGTACCATTGAGATACTAAACATGCTTTCATCTGAAGCACCTTCCTGAACAAATTTTTGACGATATTTGTGTTGATCCGCTCCATCACAACCCCACTTCACGACCATAACTGGATTTTTGTTTTCTGGCGAAAAAGAGAATGCTTGAAATACGTCTTTTTGAGCATCATATAGCCTAAGAATTGTATGATTAATGAGTGATTGAAGTTTTATCTCTGCAGAAACTTCCGTTACAGTAATATCCGATGGATAGCACAATTGTTTGGCTAACTTAACTTTATAGTAAGGTGGATACAAACTTTTATTGAAAGGCTTAATTTGGTTTCTAATAATATTGTATTGATTTGTTGATAGTTGTGCATCAACCATCATAGCAAGGGTTTCATCTGGTGTTAATCTTTGTGGCTTTTGATTTTGGGCTGTAATAGCTTTTTTGAAGGAGGTACTCTCCCTTGAGGAGGAAGCAATTTCTCTCACACATACAGCTAAATTTCGTTTTCCTTCTTTGCGAAGTTTCATTTCAGTAGCCGTCACTAACTGTTTTTCACTCGTAGAATTTACCAAATTTCTAACTTTGTTTTTTTGCGCTCTTGGACCACACTCCTCAAATGTTAATTCTGGCCTTCCACGTTTACCTTTGCAAATATTTGCATCACCCAAAGCGTTTCTTGCTATTACAGATAATCGAAAATCTCCCCTTAACCAATCAGAATTTTTAGATAAGAAGATATGTTTATGCCTATTTGCCTTTTTCCATTTGTTCTCGATTTTCTGACAAAACGACCTGGCCGAAACTCTTATATTTTCTTTGATAGCTCTTGAAAGATTACTAGAATCAAAGCGTTCCAATATAAAATTCATCACAGCGCTTCGCCGCTTCTTTGGAGTGTTAGAAGTCCAAACCTCATATACATCCTGACGAGTGAAGCGCGCAGCCATCTTAAAAAATATATATGTTTAGCTAAAGCGCACCTAAACGCAGCTAATTTTTTTTATGTCTTATGCTATAATAAGTGGGCTTTCAAGAAATGACAAAGTTATCGTGGTATTATGTGGTATTATGTAACAAAAACATATTTAAAGTAGCTAAATTACAATTTTTCTAGGTAACTGCAGGTAGTTCTTTAACATTTCTTTTCAGTCAAACTATATAGCAGAAATATTTTTAAAAAATGATAGCTTACCACGTAGGCCTAATGTAAAAATAATATCAATGTAGTTATTCCGTAAAAGTAAACACTTCTCACTAAAACGCCTGCAAAATTTAACTAAATGGGCTAGATATTTTAGATGAGTTTATCGTTTTGTCCGAAACATAAAGCAATGAGCATTTTTAAATGATACGCTTGATTTTAAAAATAAACATATGTTTTTTTATTGATGAATGGACATTCCTTGAATAAATTTTACAATAACTGAGGACCTGAGATAAAGTTGCTAAATCGAATTAATTCCAGCTAGAACGTCAAAATTTCACACTGTGCGCCGGTGCGTTGTCCTGGTGGAAGAGCACTTTCTTCTTCGCTAAATGCGGTCGTTTTTGCTTCAAATTGGCGTCAAATCGGTCCAACAGCTTTGAATAATATTCGCCGGTGATCGTTTTGCCCTTTTCAAGGTAATCGATATGAATAATACCGTGCGCATCCCAAAAAACTGTGGCTATGACCTTGTTGGCAGACAGACCCACCTTGGCTTTCTTTGGCTTTGACTCGCCCTGAGAAACCCACTGCTTTGACTGTTCCTTCGTCTCTGGCGTATTGTGATGGATCCAAGTTTCGCCCACGATTACAAAACGGCGCAAAAAGTCCTTCTTATAGTGGTTAAACATTGCCAAACACTCCTTTGAAGTTGTCACACGGTTTCGCTTGTTGTCGGCATTGAGCAAATGCGGCACCCATGTGGCAGCGAGCTTCCTCATTCCCAAATAATCGTGCAATATATTCTCCACTCGTTCACGTGACATGCTCACAGCCTCAGCAATCTCGCACACTCTTACCCGTCGATCGTCAATTACCATACCATGGATTTTATCGACCACTTGTGATGTGGTGACCTCTCTTGGACGGCCTGGACGCTCATCATCAAAAATTATCGTACGACCGCGTTTAAATTCGGCAGTCCAATATTTTATTGTTGATAACGAAGGTGCAGAGTCCCCATACACATCATCCAGTGCGATTTTGATCTCATCGTTCGTTTTCTTTTTTAAAAACAAAAATCTAATCACTGCGCGATATTCGATTTTGTTCATTTTTGTAAAAATGCAAAATCTGTTCGCCTTCAATCACTGTCAAGTACAAACTAAGTGACGCAGCTCAAGTCACTTGAAAGATAGTTTTTACGAAAAACAATTGCATTTGTTCCTAGCGCCGCCAACTCTTGCCGAGGCCGATTATTTCTCAGCCCAGCCTCGTAATAACCGAGAAAAAATATCCCCGGAAGGCAGGATTTTTAGCTCATTTTTTTTTCCATTTAAATAACACGTAAAAAAGTAGTTGTAATATTATCAAGAAATTATGTTTTCTAACTAAAAAAAATCAACATTTTTTCTCAAAATATTTTTGTCGATAAAAAGAAACTTATACAGGGTCCGGCAATAGTGCGTCGGGCATCTGTAACTCCTAGAATAAAAAACTTGAGAATTTTGTTTAAGTGCAAACCTAAAGTATGTACCAGGATGTATTTCAGGAAAATATTTTACCTTCTATAGGGTGGCTCAAAAAAGTATGAGTGGACTTGGATGATTTTTTTTAAATGGAACACCCTGTATATTATTGCATTTTTGGCTTTCTTTCCGATCACTTTACATAACCCTAAGATATGAATAAATACATTTCGATAGTTTCAGAGATATTAAAAAATAAATCAAAAATATATATTTTTCTGCCCTTCTTAAAAAAATTATTAAAAATACAAGAACTGTTCTGAAATCAAAACTATATTAGGTATTTACTTTAGATGGTCTATAATTACTTTGCTATAAAAAATCGTAAATCATACAGGATGTTCAAAATTCTACGCTAAACTTTGTAAAATATAAAATAAATTTTCTTCGTTTTTTTAAATGGAACGCCCTGTATATTATTTTTTCAGTAGACGGAGAATTAAAAAATAAACATTTTTTTTGTATTTACAGTATTTCAAAATTTTTAACGGTTTCGCAGATATTTGCGGTTTTATATTTCATATGGCATTTTCCACAGTAAATTTTTATCAAAGCCACACCCAATGATTTTTCTCTCGTATTTACCATTGAAAGCGCCATATGAAATAATACTGCGTGTATCTGCGAAACCGTTAAGAATTTTGAAATACTCTAAATACAAAAAATGTTCATTTTTTAACTCTCCATCTAATAAAATAATAATCTACAGGGTGTTCCATTTAAAAAACAAAGAAAAATTATTTTATATTTTAGATAGTTTGGGGTAGAATATTGAACATCCTGTAGGATTTACGATTACCATATTTATAGCAAAGTAAGAATAGACCATCTAAAGTAAATACCTAATATAGTTTTGATTTCAGAACAGTTCTTGTATTTTTAATAATTTTTTTAAGAAGGGCTGAAAAATATATATTTTTGATTTATTTTATAATATCTCTGAAACTATCGAAATATATTTATTTATATCTTAGGTGTATGTAAAGTGATCTGAAAGGAATCCAAAAATGCAATAATATAATAATATACATATACCATTTTAAAAAAATCATCCAGATCCACTCACACTTTTTTGAGCCACCCTATAGAGGTTAAAATATTTTCCTGAAATACATCATGGTACATACTTTAGGTTTGCACTAAAACAAAATTCTAAAGTATTTTATTCTATGAGTTACAGATGCCCGACGCACTATTGCCGGACCCTGTAGACATGTTCCTAAAATATTTGCACTTTTAAAACTTATCTTGTATATCTATATAATACGCATAGGTATTCCTAAGCAAACATTTCTCGATTTTTTTTTTCAACGACGCGACGCAGAGGACGCCAGACTTCTGAAATAAGATGTCATAATTTACATACCTTATGTAATCTCCATTCGGATCAGCTTTCCTTCCAAATTTTACTGGGCAGTAACAATGAAAAAACTGCTGGAAAAAACTTGAGCAGGATAACCACATCCACATTCCCGCATTAACAGACCAATCGGCATCCAACAACAATTCTTCAAATACCTATTTAATAAATAATAAAATCTGTTTTAGAGAGTGGTGTTTTATGTTTAATGTTCTTTTTATAATGTAAAATTACACGAAGATAATTTTTTCACTGATTTTGTACTTTGACTTCCATTAACTTCTTTATTATGTATTACATTTGTTCCTACAGATGAAGATAAATCCGTTGAATAGTCAAGTGTTTTTTAATTAGATAACTTTAAGTTAAGAACTAATAAGAAATTTGGGTCAGTAGATTTTATTTTTTTTTAATTTTAGCATAAAAAGAACTATATGTTTATATATTTTGTTGCTAATCACAATATTTTTTTTCTAATGGCAATACATAATTAATTACTATTGCAGTATTCTATATTCACTAAATATTGATGAATTATTACTTTCATTCCTTCTTCCCAAGAGATCCACAAATCTCCTCTTGTTAAAAAACATGCTACAGCATGTCTAGCAAGATGATGAATCCATCCTTCCTGTCTAAGTTGAACCATGATAGCATCAATCCAGGGAAAACCAGTTTGACCCTATATAAGTAATATAAATATAATTTTACTAAAAAATCATTATAGTGAAATAAAATAGTATGATTAAGTATGTTTTACATGATGAAAGATAAAGAATCGTTAAAGGAAATTGCATTACATTTTTTTTAACTATCAAAGCTAAGGCACTCTTATTCATAATTTTTTGGAATTTTATAATGTACTACACTCAACACTTACATTTGCCCATTTGGCAAGTGCCTCTGCATTTTTGTCCCAAGGTATCTGCACGCAGATTGGATTACCCAACATTTTATCAAAATTTGGATTTTTTGTTGCAGCACAATAAAAAAATTCCCTCCATAGTAATTGTCCATGTAATGATAGTGGGGGATATGCCTAAAATGATACATAATATAAAAATTTGTCAGACTATAATGTTGTTATAATTCACTAGAATACAATATGGATTATATGTTAGATTTTAATGCGAAAATATTACACATTATTAAAATACCGTAGATAAACTATTGAAAACCCTATTTAGTATTACTTCAAGAAATCTGTGTAACATTATACCGGTACCGCTGCGCTGTATACAAGGCCCCTGCCAATGCCGTAAAAATATTGTGACGTCTCATCAACTGGAGGTAATAAATCTCATTAGCAATGTTGATAATTAGCAGATAAAAATCAGTTTTGAAACATATATCTCACATACTATACAAAATAAGGCCATATAATGAGGTGATTGCTTTTCTTTTAGTAATAAAGGGACTATTCATATCAAATTTGTCGATTTGGCGATTTCCTGCAATGTTATTAATTTTTATAGAATTAATAAAAAAATACTATACATTTCTACCTCTCTACTTTAGTAATTTGTACAAAAAATAGTTTAATGTTTAGTTTAAATAGGATTACTAATCCTGAAAATTATTTTTACCTAGTTAACTGCTCAATGTCGAAAAAAACATAGAGAGACAAAAATGACTTAATTGACTTTAATACGGTAGTTTTTTTTAAATTAATTTAAGGTAAATGTCGATAATATTGGGATTTTTTCGTTATCTTATATGAATAAATATCCTGGTAGGAACACACCAATTTGAAAAACGTTATACCAAAAACCCTTTTTGTTAAAAAAATATAAAGTTCTATTTTTTTTCAATTTATTTCGCATTTGAATATTGGAAGTAAATAAAGTTTTAAGTGCCAATATCATTATTTCGAGATAAACGACATTTTTTATTATACAGGGTGTCCAAGAAATGAGTGCAAATATTTTAAGGGGTGATAGATCTGGTCAAAAGAAACATATTTTCACTTTACCATTTTTAAAATAAATTGAAAATAACCGAGTTATTTAACTTTGAAAGTTTTAGAAATATATTGCGACATTTTGAGAGCCGCCCGGGGTTATCGGCCATTTCCCGGATCTCGCCTTGTTCGCCGCCCGCCGTTGCCGCGACTAGAAAGTCTTAAAAACTACTTGCAAAATTCCATAACACTAAGTGGATGCTCGCCAGTAGCCATACTTCCCACATTTCCCAAATTAAATTAAAAGAAAAAAAACTTACCAAACATTAAAAAAGGATATCCCGATAGAAGATCGATATAATTGCAAAGCTTTATTTTTTTTTCATTTTACCAGTCCTAAAACTGCCCTTAATACTACACTAAACTTCACTAGAATTCTTAACAACACTTGAACTTTGAAGCCACCTGAGGATCCAAACTTCCAAAATCCCTCAAATGCTGAACCATACTCACAGCTCACAGAATTTACACTTGATAACGGTTAAGTGATCCTTCTGACCGAAATGTTGGGTTAATCAAAATAAATAAAGACAATGGAAGTCCGAAATTCTTTTATTTTCTATACACTCACAAAGGTTCGAGCATTCGTGATCTGTCTATTCGAATACTCTTCGGAATAAAGCATCTTAGCTTCAGCAGCCCCTTCACCTGCCAGGAGGAAGTATGCAAAATTCACACTTTAGGTAGAGTTTAGAAGCATATTCACCTTCTCCGGATTTGTATAATAGGCCATCGCGATTTACCAATACCGATTACCGACACAAAAATATGCAATAACGAACATTTTAAACACAATCTCCGATAACTTTCTGGAGTTTTAAAAGCTCGATACTATTAGAACGATTTCTGATAGTCGAACGTGCTGATCATCTTATTTATTAACCAAAATTAAACTCAAATCGATAAACCAGCGACATCTATAGAATAACGGATTAAGTTTTTTTTGTGAACGGACAATCGGCACTGTGGCGTGCAAGACAAGTCGTATTAGACGGGAGTGGTAGAGGGCCCTAGTGCGCTTAACAGTATTTACGATTTCTCGGGGGTTCCCAAAATAACTATATGGATAACTTGCTGGAGTTTTAAAAGCTCGATACTATTAGAACCATAGAGATTAGAACGATTTCTGATAGTCGATTGTGCTGATCATCTTATTTATTAACCAAAATTAAACTCAAATCAATAAACCAGCGACATCTATAGAATAACGGATTAAGCGTTTTTTGTGAACGGACAATCGGCACTGTGGCGTGCAAGGCAAGTCGTATTAGACGGGAGCGGTAGAGGGCCCTAGTGATCTTAACGGTATTTACGATTTCTCGGGGGTTCCCAAAATCATTTAAAGAATGTAAACAAACCAAAATCAACGTATGCTGTACGTGTATCGCTTAAAGTTTTGGCACTTTTGGTGTAAAATCATTAATTTTCTTTTGTGGGAGAGTTCAGTAGAGGTTTTAAGTAGTTATTAAAGCAAATTTTGTTAACACTTTTTGTTGTATTTGTGAGTTTAGTGTTTAATTATTATGTGAAACATTTTAAATATTATTTTGCAAGAAGTGATAGATTTGTGATGTTCAGATTATTAGATATTTGGGGTGTATGTGTAATGGTATATGTTGTATAAAAATACTGATGAATTTTCATCAAAAGGGTAAGCTCTAACTTAATATTTAAAGATTATAATTGTTGATTGAAACGATTGAAAAAAAATCATAATATGGCAAAAAAAAGAAGCTCTTATAATTTATTTTTTCAGCCTACTCAACTGTAAAAAGTATTTAAAATATTGCGCATTTTCCTAAAATTAGTATTAGCAATCTCCACTAATATGAATAAATTTAGTTTTCGTATTTTTCTATAGAAACTTATTGCGGGTTTATACAACATATTCGTAATTATAATCACAATTTTAGTCACAATTATAAAAGTTAAAACCATTATTTTAGATACGACCGTTTATACATCGCAGTCGTAATCATAAGCTTAATTTAATAACCTTGAAGTTCGTAAATTTTAACTTTCTTGATTATGATTACGACAAAAACCATTTAGGGGGCATTATTTTTTTTTCATTTTTATGTTTAATACTTATGATAATTTTCGTGTTTAAAAAACCTGAGTAATAAAATTAAAAAAAAAATGATTATGAAATAGAAAAATAAGAAAATTAGGTTACTTTATCAGCTATATTTACATTCCAAGTTATGAATGCGACTATGTTGTATAAACGCATATTAAAATTTGTGATTGTGACTGTGCTTATGCTTAAGACAAAAATTATGATTATGATTACTACTATGTTGTAGCTCATTAAAATTACTGTGAATTTATAAACATTTAGAATGTGGGTATGGTAGGAAGTGGCAACATTGCATTCTCTCCGAGATTCTCTCTATGCGCGGTAAACGAATTTCCGGAGAGTGAACAGTGGCACTGAAAAGTTTTTCGAAATTTTCTGGAAAATGTCAAGAAAAATATAAAATTTTCAACATTTTTTTTTGCAAAAAAACTCATAGGCGTGTTTCTGGGGTTGAACTATACTACCAGTTAAAATATTTGCACTCATTTACGGGACACCCTGTATAACCAATGTATAAGAACCGGCGCGGCGCGGCGCGGCGCTGTCTCTGTAGAGAATTTTTTTCCATACATAATAATAATAATAATAATAATAAATGCCTTTATTGTCAAAAAATTTTTCAATTTGTAGACAAAGGTAAACTAACAAACAAAGTAGAAAAAAAAACAAGGTACACAAACAAACAAACAAAAGATAATACAAAACATTATATAAATAATATTGTCAGTCTTATTGTTAAAATAAACATTTATAAATGTTTACAATGTCAAAGAACAAAAAATGTAAAATAATATTCAAAAATATTTAGCTAGTTTATAGCAAAATATCAATGACCTCTAAATAAATTAATTTCGATGTCATTAGTAAATATAGCAATAGCAAACATTAGACCAGTGTTTTCAAGATCAAATTCGATTTTCAATTCAAATATAATTCATTTACGGCGTAGAAAGCCTTGTCTAGTAAATAAGAGTTCAATGCTTTGCGAAATGAAAAAAATGATGTTATGGATTTGATTTCAAATGGCAGGTGATTGTGCATTTTTTTCGAGTTGTATAATATTGAACTTTTAACTAACTCTGAGCGTGGGGTAGGTAGATAAAGATCTTGCTCCGCGTTCCTGAGTGGATAAGTGTGAGATGGCCTTTCTTGAGAAGCTGATACATGTTTACGTATTAGGCAAACGGATTCAAATATAAATAAGGAAGGAAGAGTCAATATTTTTAATTCTCTAAAAAAGCCCCGGCAATGAGTTCTGCTGTTTAGTCCCAGTGAATATCGAACAGCTCTCTTCTGGAGCTTGAAAATGCGGTCAAATTGAGCCGCACAACACGTACCCCAGAATGGAAGGGCATACCTGAGGTGCGACTCAAAAAGTGCATAATAAACAGTTCTAGCCACTGACAAGTTAAGCTCCTTAGAAACAGACCTTAATGCAAAACAGGCAGAGCTCAATTTTTTCGACAAAGCTTCGATATGTATGTCCCATTTCAGAGAATTGTCCACAACAAGCCCTAAGAATTTTACGGATTTTACGACGTCAATGGTGGTGTTGTCAAGTACAAAAGGCTGCAACGAGTTTTTATACGACAAAGCCTTAGTTTTAGAAATGTTGAGACTCAGGAGGTTCGAATCGCACCAAGATTTAATGGTGATTAAGTCATTTGATATAATCCTATGAAGTGCCGCGATGTCCTTGTTGCTCCAAGTGAAGCTAGTGTCGTCCGCAAAAAGACATATTTTGCCACTGATGTTTATGTTAGCAATGTCGTTAATAAAAAGAAGAAACAAAACAGGGCCTAGTACTGAGCCTTGTGGTACTCCACATTCTATTGGCTTTCTAGAAGACAACGTGGTATCCACCCTCACAAGTTGACTTCTGTTGCTCAGATACGACTTAAACTATCCGAGAGATGATCCCCTGAACCCATAGTGCTGCAGTTTATTAATTAAGATCTTATGATTAACAATCGAACGCCTTAGAAAAATCACAGAAAAT